GCAGGTGGGTTGCACGCCGGTGGGGAGCCGGGCGGAAGCGGCGCGCGGAGCCCCCAGGTCCACCGTTGGGAGGATGTCCGTTATCCTTTTGTGACCCGCGGAAACTTGGGACCGAGCCGTTGGGTGCCTGCTTCCCCGTGGATCTTAGAATGACGGGATCCCAGCCGCTAGTCCTACTGCAGCTTAGGTCTTTATGGCTTTCTAAAATGTCTGTCTGAGCTTCCCTGTCTTCGCTCTCCAGCCAATCATTGTTTCCCGTGACCACTGTCCTCATCTATTTCTCACTTACATAGCTTCTCCTTATGCTTACCAGGCTTGCATCTGTCTCCTTATTGAAAATTGAACAATTTTCCGCCCTAGTTCTCCTTTTTTTATATATAGCAGAGCCTGTATTTTTCCTGGCACGAATTAGCGGCAAGTTAAATCTTCCTGAATAGCCAGCTATGTCGCAGCGAAGTGGTTTTGCCCTTACTCATTCTTTTGGTCTACCTGATTTATGGTCTTAAGTAACAGATAAAAAACTGGTTATTAAGAAAATCCTGAAAAACTGAAAACCTCGGAAGGTGTGTCTTTGTTGTACTCGTTCGGCCAACTTAAGGGCTGTGTGAATTTCTTAAACATTCTCTACATTTATGTCTTTTAGTGTTCTTGGGGTTGAAGGCCGTGATTGTTCTGAACTGTAATGTATCAGTCTTAGATCCAAGTTCTTAAAACAAGCGTCTTTTTGGGAACTTTGTAGAGAAACTATGCATTCTGATTAAAAAGTGACCTTTATCACTCTCATTTAGTCCCTGCTTATTTTTAAACGTCATTGTACTTGATTTTTGAGAATGTTAGTAGATGGAGTGAAAAATTAGATCATTGCCTCTTTGAATCTGAGTTTTAAAATCTGAGTAATTCCCTGTGGAATGCTGCACCTACACAGTTTGACAAAGTCAAGTCTGCTGAAATAAGTCATTTCTGGCTTCATAGCTTATAAATTCTGCATAAATATTTCACAAATGAAAACCAATTGTGGGAGAACTGGTTTTTATGTGGCTTTATTAATTTCACTTTCCCCACTCTCTAGTAATTGATGGGAGGATGTCATTGTAAGTAGTTGGTACTTCCGCATAGATAGGAGAGAGATGGGGAAGTACCCTGTTAGGCAGCCTAGCTTCTGAGTCATAGATCTGTAGACTTCACAATCAGCTGGAGAAAGCTGAAGAGGGTTTAACTGTCAGGAAGGGTGGTAGGTGGGAGAAAGCACCAAGATGTTCCTCGGTGCTATCTCAGCACCTGCTCCATGAATATCTTTTAAAAATTGCCCCAATTTTAAAATTGGGGTGACCTATTGGATGGCCCTGGAGTTTTCAGTAGTGGGAGATAGTCTTATCTCTCCTGTAGCTGTGGAGTAGCTTACGGATAGACACTCAAAGACACTGTGGTGTATTGGTGCCAGCCTGCTTGTATTTGCTGCTAAAGGTGAAAATCCATTTAAAAGGACAGGTTATAGTGCAGTTCCAGAGCCTTGGGCCTTTTTAGAGGGATCATTTCACTGCTTTTATTCTCTTCTGTTTGAGCAGAGTAAATTGGGGCCTATGAGCCTTCCCTCCAAATTTCTAGAGTCCTTTTGTTTTGGCAACGAGACAAATGACTAATGCCACTTAATTAAACAAGTATTTTACACCCATGTCTGCGTGCTTTTGCCCTTCCAGCTGTGAGGGCAAAGACGACTGCTGGGTCTGTCTATAGCTCAGTGCCTTGTATGTGGAATGATTGTTTCCTTTTTGGTCCATCAAAACATGAAATTGGTGGTGAGGGTATAGCTCAGTGGTAGAGTGTGTGCTTAGCATGCATGAGGTCCTGGGTTCAATCCCCAGTACCTCCACTAAATAAGTAAACCTAATTACCTCCCCACCCCAAATAAATACAAAAGACAAAAACTTTTTTAAAAGGAACTGTAATTTAAAAAAAGAAAAGAAAAGAAATGGAAGACGCCATGATGGGAGTTCTGTGTGGTTGTGCTTGACCATTTCAGGGGTCTAAAAAGCTCCAACCTTGTACAAAGCTTCCAGTCTACCAGGGAAATGAATGTCAACAACTATAGAAGAACAAGCAAGATTAGAAGAATCTTACGAGTTGTGTAAACTTTATAGAATCTCTCAGAAGTCAGAACTCACTAATGGCTGAGGAGATGTAGTGACCAGTATCCTGCAAGAAATGTGTCCCTTGGCGGGACAGCACAGGGCAAAAGTGTGGACTGTTAACGCACAGCTCTTTAGATGTCTCCTCACCTCCCCCCTTCCTAATAGTTTGCTTCCTGAACTTCCATTACATTTCCAATTGAGTGTTAAGACCTGGTGGTTTAAGAAGGGACACGTGGAGAGAGTAGAGGGTGGAAATGGGTGGCGGAATAA